CGCTGGCTACACCAATTCGCCGGTCGAACTCTTCCTCCAATTTTCCATCACTAGCAAATACAGTTCCGAGGTACTTGAACTTCTCCATCTGCTCCACTGCTTCTCCCTTAATCTAAAGAGAGCAACGGGCAGGAGAACGAGAAAGCTCTAGGCTTTTCGTTCTGTTCACACGCATGCCGGTCACGTCGCACTCGGCTGCGAACCTTTCTAAGGAGCACCGGAGATCAGTTTCAGAAGGTGCTAATAAAACAAGGTCGACTATAAACAGCAACCCTCTCGACTTCACATCTACTACACCGATACCCTCATCGCCTTGGCAACTCCTGACTATTCCATCCATGTACAACACAAGCAGGATAGGGAACAGGACACAGCCTTGGCGGAAACCAGTTCGAACGACGAATGGTTTCGACTTAGCGCCATTAATTTTCACTCAGCACCTCCTATTAGAATACAGTGATTCGATGGCCCTTAGCAGCTGACCGTCTATTCCGTATGCTCCAAGGCATGTTTCCACAGACTTTTGCGTGGGATCCGGTTATAGGCTTTTTCTAGGTCCACAAAACACATGTACACCGGATGGGGTATTCCCATGATTTCTCAAGAATCTGGCGCAGGGCAAATATATGGCCAGAGGTGCTTCGACCGGGCCCGAAGCCACACTGCTCTTCTTGGATCTTGAGGTCAACTGTTTCACGGCACCTCCTTTCTAGCCACGTTTGCGTAGATGTTACCTGGGAGACTCAATAACGTTATGCTCCTATAACTGAACCATTCCTTGTGGTCTCCTTTCTTGAATACGGGTACAATAACTCCCGCTCTCCAGTCCACTGCTGTCTTTCCCGCAGTCATCGCAGTTTCACAGACACGTGTTACCAGCACATGCCTTGTTCCTCAAATGCCTTGAGCATCTCACGGCGGATTTCGTCAATTCCAGCAGCTTTTCCATTTTTCAAGCTTTTCACAGGTTGTGTGATTTCATCTACATAGATAATAACATCCGTACTCTTCTCCTCTACACGCGAGACTTCCTGCGGTTAAGCGGGGTTAAGGAGTTCCTCAGAATCCTCGCTCCATCGCCGAAGAATGTCATCATCCTTGGTAGGAGGGTGTCCATATCTGTCCTTCAAGACTCTGAGACTACCCGTCCTTTCACCTCGGAGCCAGCGGATGGTCTGCCAGAAAACTTTGTTTGCCCTGTGGAAATTCGACTCCAACACCTCAATAAACTTCTCCCAGGAGCCAGCTTTGGATTTTGCCACTGCTTTCGATGACGCTTAGCGTGCCTCGACGTATCGCACGCGAGTAGAAGGCTCTTTGTTACCAAACCATTTCTTGAATGCTGCTTTCTTCTCTTTAACTGCCAGCTGTACCTCTCGTGTCCACCATGAAGATCTTTTCTAACCTCCAAGCCGTTGGCCAACCCGTTTATATCCGCAGCTTTCGGCGGTAGCCTC